AATTCTATCCAGTGATGTAACTTTCACTTTAGCCAGATCCTTTTAGAGGAGTGATTCTAGGGTCTCTTTTCATGGCCGCTGCGTTACTGGAGTGGGCTTGGGTGGCGTGGAAATCAGGGACTGGAGGAACCAGGGACACAAACATTTGCAGGGTCAAAGAAAAGTCAATTTTAGGTCATCGAGCTATTTCCTCATTTCCCCAGCAGTAGTGAGGTCATCGTGGGACTGATATGAAGTACTGTTTTCATGTTCTCGTCCAAGCCTCTCCCTTTTACGAGTCTGTCTAGCAAACATTAGCTCCTCACCGTGTTGGAGGTGGTGTACCTCTCACGAGTATTTATTCATCCATTCATTCATCAAACATTTGTGGACCGGTGTGAAACTGATTGGAACAATTCGAGCCGCACATGATACAAAATCCTACATGTCTTGGCTTAAATAAGAGAGACGCTTCTTCCCCTCTGTGGTGAAACAAGCCTGGAAGTGCACAGCTCTGGGACCAGGCTCAGCGTTACCTGGGATTCAGGCTCCCTCCGCCTTGCTGTGTCACCTGAAGCCACCACCTCATGGAACAAAGTGGTTGCCCACCTCCGGGCTTCACGTCCACCCTCCAGGCAGCAGGAAGAAGAAAGAGAAAAGGACCCAAAAGGGGGGCATGCCCATGTAATCCTCTCCACCTGGAGTGTGCTGGGCCTCATTCTGTACCTGGTCAGTCCTGCCCACCTGTCAGGTCCAGCTCCCTTAATCCGTGCACCTCCTTCCCCTGACAGCGAGGTGGTTATTTGTACAATAACCATTTGTGGCATACGGTCGGCCCTCCACGTCCATGGTAGGTTGGTTCCAGAAAATGCCTGGCCACGCAAATATCAAAATCTGTGGATGCTCAAGTCCCTCATATAAAATGGCATAGAATTTGCATATAACCTACGCGCATCCTCCTGTAGGCTTTATTTTTCATATTTTATTTTATTATTTTTGAAACAGAGTCTCACTCTGTCACCCAGAGGCTGGAGGGCAGTGGTGCAACCTCGGCTCACTGCAACCTCTGCCTCGCAGTTTCAAGTGCTCAAGCGATTCTCCTGCCTCAGCATCCCGAGTAGTTGGGATTACAGGTGCCCGCCAGCACGCCTGGCTAATTTTTTGTACATTTAGTAGAAACCAGGTTTTGCATTTGGCCAGGCTGGTCCCGAACTCCTGACCTCAAGTGATCTGCCCGCCTCAGCCCCCCAAAGTGTTGTGATTACAGGCATGAGCCACAGTGCCCGGCCCTCCATATGCTTTAAATCATCTCTCGCATACTTATAATACTGAGTGCAATGTAAATGCTAGATAAATAGTTGGTATACTGCATTGTTTAGGAAATGATGACAAGGAAAAAAGTCTGGTCGCGTTCAGTACAGACAAATTCATCCTAGGCCCACCCAGAGGACCCGGTCCACAGTGGGTTGAACCCGTGGCTGGGGAACCCGCAGGTCCAGAGGGCCAACTGTGTTTGGGTCTCTGTGAGAGTGTAACTCCTGCTGCTGATTTCACCACCGTGGCTCCGCTGCCGGAGGAGTGGAGGGGCCACGACCCAGGCGACCCTTGACCCCTGCTTGGGACCTCAGCTTCAGGGTAGGTTTTCCCGGCGGTGGACAGGGCTTCTCAGGGAAGACGGGCTGGCTGGAAGGCAGCGGGGAACAGCAGGCTTTCGGCTTGATTTCCATTACTCTAATGGTGACCCACTTTGCCGCACACTCGCTGTCTTCAAGATGACAGGTTGACAGCGACCGCCATTGGGTCATTACTGAGCAAAGAGCCATTAGCACACGGGCTTGGCTCAGCACGGCCTGTGCCGGGACACAGGTGTCTGTCATCCCAGGTGTGCTAGCCTCATTGGTCGGAAGGAATCTGCCGACCTCAGGACACCCCAGCATGCCTCCAGGCCTCGGCTTTGCCCGTTTGTAGCCTTCCCGTGGTCACCGCACTTCCGGGCCGGGGTCCCAGCCAGGATTTGTACAGAGACCCACTCCCAGGCTAAGCAGGAAGCAAGACAGTGGGGGAAAGAACTTAGGAGCCTGGAGGAAGCGGGCATGGGCATGTTTGTTTTGAATACGTGTGTCTATTATTCGGTGTGGCTTTCTTAAATGGATTCAAAATACACGCGGAGATCTGCCTCCAGTTGTTTAATGTCTTTTTAATAAGGAGACTCTTACCAGACAGCCAACCCTAAAACTTTTTCTTTCTTTCCTTTCTCTTTCTCTTTCTCTCTCTTCCCCCCTCCCCCCTCCCCTCCCCTCCCCCCCCCCCCTCCCCCCCCCCCCTCCCCCCCCCTCTGTCCCCCTCCCCCCTTCCCCCTCTCCCCCACAGTCTTGCTCTATCGCCCATGCTGGAGTGAGGGCTTGATCATGGCTCACTGCAGTCTCCACCTCTGGGCTCAGGTGATCCTCCCACTTCAGCCTCCTAAGCTGAGTAGTTGGGACTACAGGCGCATGCCACCATGCCCGGCTGACTTTTTTTTTTTTGATATTTATTTATTTTTGGTAGAGATGAGGTCTTGCTATGTTGCCCCGACTGGTCTTGAACTCCTGGGCTGAAGTGATCCATCCACTCACCTTGGCCCCCCAAAGCGCTGGGACTGTAGGCATGAGCCACCACACCCCGCCTGAAGTTTCCTTGAAAGCAAAAAGGGAAACAGAACGAGTCCATAGGCCCAAATGAAGACAGCGGCAGTGGACCGAGCCTCAAATGCCAGCCCACCACATACGGGTGCACTCTGTCTTTTTGAATCCATCTCAAGGATTTACGTTTAGAGTTTCCCCTCCTTTAAACAGACTAAGAAGCTCTGTGACAAAGTAAACAGAGAAAATACGTATAGTCAAGCTCTGGCAGGATGGGAGGGGGCTGAATTGGGAAGAAAGGAGAGGCTGAAATGGACGAAGACGTGCCCTGGCGTGGATTTGTTCTCAGCGGGAAAGCACGAGTTCTGGCTCTAAGTGCCGCCGGGGGTCAGTATTTCTCAGGTAGCCGGAGGCGCCCCTGAGCCCAGCCCTGCCCACCGCCTGATGTCATCTAGACACAAGGACATGGGGCGTGAGAGGACGTCATTGTCACTTCTCTGCAGGGTCACAGGAACCTGCCCTCTGCTCCTCTGCCTGTCAACTGCCCTTCTGCCCACAACTGGCCCAGACCCCCGTAGCCACTCACTCTCTCCCACTCCCCCAACCCCAGCAGGAAATCACTTCAGCCTGTGAGTCCTGGTTAGAACCCCCTGCGCCTGACTCTCCTCTCTCCCCAGGCTGCAAGAAATAGGGATGACCAGAAGTCAAACCCTGTCCTTGGAACACCCCACCCCTCATCACTGTCGTGCCAGGAGTCTGTTCCTAAGACCCCCCTCCCCAAGCCCGGCCTCCTCTTCTCCCATAAACCACAGCAGACACTCAGCGCCCAGGCTGCGGCCCTGCACCTTCTCCAGCACCCCCGGCCTTCCCCAGAGCTCTCGAAAACCCGTTGTCCTTCCCCAGCCACCTGGAGGCTGAAGGATCTCTCCTGGGGGCGGCCCCCAGCTGTCTGTGCAAAGGTTCCCAAGACCAAAGTGTAGGAGACATGTTCAGATGGCACCATCGTGGTCATCACTCGTCCTGTACCCTGTGGCCCCAGGTCCCACGCGACATCAGCCTGTCCCAGATGGAGCCCCAGTGGGTGGGGAGATCCCAGCCCGGCTGCTGCTGCTGAGGACCTGGGTGGTGTCTGGCTGGTGGGAGGGGAGGTCAGGCGAGTTTTTGGCAGATGACCCCGTGCTCTTCGGAGGCCTGGAAGTGCCACACTTAAAGACGTGAAGGCCTGGGTCCTTTGCTGGGCTGTTCTTGAGCTTGGCCTGAGCTCCGGAAGGGTTCGTGGAGAAGCCAACGAGGGCCTTGTTCCCGTGGGATTTCTCTGCCTTAGGCACAAGGACAGCCTCTTGCTGCTGCTCTGCCCACCGCCCACCCTTGGCGGCCTCTGGGAGACTGGGCTGGTCTCCCTCTGGACACAGCCCGTGGCCCACTGCCTGCATCTGCTCGAAGTTCCCTCTTGCAACTGGACCAGGGAGCCGGGGAGGCGCCAAGAGGCCGAGCTTCTGAGCTGGTGGCCGTGGGCGCAGGACCATCCCACAGCTCCCACGCTGGGATGGCCAAGCCGCCCCGGGACCCACAGCGCCCTTTTAGCAAAACAGGAGGGAGGTGGCCGGGCACAGGGAGCCGGGGAACACCTGCGCTCTGGGCCATCCACGGCTCCAGAGGCCTGAATCTTCGCTCCAGCCCAGCACAAGCTCGCCAAGGCACAGGACCAGGTGGTACCCCCACCCCGCTCCGCCCCGGGTGCCCCAGGACCTCCTGACTGGGGCTGGCTTGGATGAGGGGCCGTCCCTGCCCTCAGCCCTCTCGGGTCTGCAGTGCCGCGGACCTGGGTGCGGGGCGTTGTTGGGGGTCAGGCTCGCTCTGGGGCTGGGACCCCGGGCGGAGCAGTGGGGACGGCGCGCTCCTCCGCAGCGACGAGCTGGGCCCTGGGTCTGGGGACTCTCCCGCGGGGCGATGGGGCTCTGTTATGGGGTTGGGTTCTTTCCCGCCGCTTTAGGGGGGTCTCTCCGCGGATTTGGGGGAAATCCCTCCAAATCCTATCTCAAATAGGGTGAGAGGGGCTCTCTCTCTGCTGATTTGGGCGTCTCTCCCGCGGGGTGAGGGGGACTCTGTCTTTCGAGGCGCCTCTTCGCGGATTTGGGGAAGTCTCCCGCGGGGTGAGGGGCCTTCTCCGCCGTCCCTGCCTGTGATGGCCCAGAGGACCCGAGCTCCGGTCACTCCCGCCCCTCGCCGGGGCTCGGCGTGGGCGGGGGTACGGGTGCTGAGTCCGTGACGCGGCTCCAGGCGGCTCCGGGGCGAGCCGCATAAATAGCAGCGGCGGCGGTGCCGGTGGCCACTCGGAGCCGCGGACACGACGAGGGACCCCCCCCGCGCCTCCCGCCCCCGCTGCCGGCCCTGCCATGCAGTGAGCGCCCCGGAGCCGCCAGAGATCGCCCGCCGTCCGGACCCGCCGCCCCGGACACCGGCGCCCGGCCCCGGGCGCAGCTGCAGCTCAAGGTACTCGCGCCCTGGGAGGCCTCCCCTCGGCTGTCCTCCGCCCGGGACGATCCCGCAGGGGCCCCGGCCCGGCAGCCGCTGCTGCTCTGCCTCGCAGTCCCCGGCACCTACGCCTCGGGCGCAGACCAGGGCGCCGTGGTCCCACCCGCCCGCCCTGCCCTTGCCTTCCAGATGGCCCGAGGCAGCGCCCTCCTGCTCGCCTCCCTCCTCCTCGCCGCCGCCCTTTCTGCCTCCGCGGGGTTCTGGTCGCCGGTAAGTGCGGGGCGGGCGCGGAGGGCTTCCTGGAGGTGGTGGCAGGGCGCCCGCAGGGACGGGGGTGAAAAGGCTCGTGCGGGCGCTGTTCTGGCGGCTGGCGTCTCGGGAAGGGTCCGGGGCTCCCTGGGAATCCCCCGCGTGCTTCTCCGAGCGCATCAGCAGCCCCAGGCTAGAACCAGGCCACCGGGAGAGCGCCGCGCTCTGGGTCAGCGCCTCGGGAAAGCTAGAGGCTCGTCCGTTCCGCAGCGCTCCGTTAGAACACAGGGCGAGGAGCCACTGGCCTCAGCGTCACTTAGAGCAGGTGCATCGCGCTGAGCGCGCACAGGCTCCAGCCCAGAAGTGAAGTAGTTTGTAAATCAAGTGGCCCCATGTTCATGTCAAATAGAGCCTACTTAGGGGTGAACCCGGAATTTCGCTAGGCTTCCGAAAGGACCTGCATTGTTCTAAGTCCTACGTCCTGCCGGGAAAGCCTGGGGGCACCCATTCAGTAGCGGCTCCAGGCACAGCCCTGGCATCTGACCCCCTTCTCTCCCGCTCAAGGCCAAGGAAAAACGAGGCTGGACCCTGAACAGCGCGGGCTACCTGCTGGGCCCACGTAAGTGACTGAGAGCATGGCCTCCCACACTCCCGGCCCCACCTGCCCCTCGCTTTATACCCTGGCTCCTGCCCCTCCTCCCGCGGCTGGGCAGACCCTCCAGCCTCCCTCTTGACCTCACCACCCGTCTCCCTTGTTCTGCACACTTGATCTGTGCACCATTCTTTCCAGAAGCTTCTCCTGCCCCAGCTCTGCTGCCGTCCGAGCCGAGATCCCCACTCTGGCCTTTGCTTAAGCTCTCCTGGGCTTTCCTGCCTTGCAGACCTTAAAGACCCTGTTCTGAGCCTCTCCGCAGGCCCCGGGTATCCCCAAACACGCAGCTCCTCGGCTTGCAGAACACCTTTGTGGACCCCAAGTTCTGTCTCCCTCTTCCCTTTCTCCAAGCTCCACAAGGGAATTCCCAGACAGCCTGAGGGTAACCCAGGCAGGCTCTCTTCAAAACCAGGTTCAGGTGGCCCTCGGGCCTGTCCAAGCCTGCGCCTCCTCCCCCTCCCTCTCCCTGTCCTGTTGGCGTCACCCATGTCAGCTGTGGCCCCTGCTGCCTGAAGTGAGCCCCAGCCCTAGATGGGATGCTGCAGGCTGACGCCTCCCGTGTCCACCCCCGCCCCAGGCCTCTACTTCTTCTGTTTGTGCAGCAATGCCTCCAGGCTTGCCTCTAAAGGCAGGGAAGAGAGGGGACCTTGGCTCCCTCCTCTAACCCACCTTCCCCTCCACCCCTCGCCATCCACCTTAGAAACCTCCCAGTACTGCCTTCTGCCCGCTGAAGAAGGTGAACAGCCCACAGGGCCTGTCCCAGCCCCTTGCCCCCGGAGCAGCAATTGGGGAGCATGGTGCTCTTAACTGCCAGGGAAAGCCGCCTTAGTTCTCAGCCCCAGAGTCTGATACAGCTTCCTCCTCCTGCAGACGCTTGTTCGTCGGGGTCACTCGGAGGACCCCCAAGTCGGGCTTTAAGAAACAGACACCGGGGGCCGGGTGAAGTGGCTCACACATGTAATCCCAGCACTTTGGGAGGCCGAGGCGGGGGGATCACGAGGTCAGGAGTTCAAGACCAGCTGACCAACGTGGTGAAACCCTGTCTGTACTAAAAATACAAAAATTAGCTGGGCATGGTAGTGGGCACCTGTAATCACAGCTATTCAGAAGGCTGAGGCAGGAGAATTGCTTGAACCCGGGAGGCAGAGATTGCAGTGAGCCAAGATAGCACCACTGCACTCCAGCCTGGGTAACAGATCGAGACTTCCATCTTAAAAGAAAAGAAACAGACACGGGGATGACAGAGCCACCTAATGCCGTGTGCGGGCCGACCGGGCGGTTCCCCGCAGGACCCGCTGGTCCCTCTGCACGGCCCTCGAATCCTCTCCCTGCCCCGGAGCGGCCTGACCTGCCTGAGGGCCGGCTGATCTCAGCCCTTTGCAACCCTGAGCTCTGCCGCCCACAGGGCACCTCATCTTTGTGTGCTATGTGCCCAAAACAGGAGGAAGTGGCAGCAAGAACATGGACCCGTGTTGCTTTGGAATATTGAAAATCTATTTGTCAGGAAAGTTGGAACCCTAATCAGAAAACAAACCCATTTTCGCCACCAAGTTTACGTCCCCGTTCAGCTGTGGCTGGATGAGCTGTTTGTCAACATACTCACCGGTGTGCCTTTGGTTTCTAGGGACAGCTAGAAAATGCCACAGAAACAGTGTTTTGCACCAGCTCCTGCTGAACGCAGTGTGGCCGTGGCTGAGGGCACAGCAGTGACATGAGACGACTTGTGATTCCTCCACAAATGTAGCGCCGAGCGCGGGGTCTTTGGAAATAGGAATGAATTTTCTTTTGCCTGGCCTTGCAGACGGCACAGTCCACCCAGGCTGACCAGCCGGAGACGCGGAGGCGTCCTGACCCTCGCCATGTCTCCCATCCCCATCTCCTTTCCTGCACCCCAAATCCAGTCCTCACCCACGCCTCTTGGTTTACAGGCCTCATAGATTCTTTCCTGGACTTCTGGGGTCTCTTTGCTTGCAGTCACAGTACCCCATTTCACACCACACAACACACACACACACACACACACACACACACACACAGCAACGCACACACATGTATGAACACGCACACGCTCCCGCGCCTCCCCTTCCTCCCCGTCATCCTCTCTCTCTCCCTCTGTGACCGTCTCGCCCCCTCTGCCTCTCCGTCTCTCTCCCTCTGTGACCGTCTCGCCCCCTCTGTGACCGTCTCTCTCCCTCTGTGACCGTCTCGCCCCTCTGTCTCTCCGTCTCTCTCCCTCTGTGACCGTCTTGTCCCCTCTGTCTCTCCGTCTCTCTCCCTCTGTGACCGTCTCGCCCCCTCTGTCTCTCCGTCTCTCTCCCTCTGTGACCGTCTCGCCCCCTCTGTGACCATCTCTCTCCCTCTGTGACCGTCTCGCCCCCTCTGTCTCTCCGTCTCTCTCCCTCTGTGACCGTCTCGCCCCCTCTGTGACCATCTCTCTCCCTCTGTGACCGTCTCGCCCCCTCTGTCTCTCCGTCTCTCTCCCTCTGTGACCGTCTTGTCCCCTCTGTCTCTCCGTCTCTCTCCCTCTGTGACCGTCTCGCCCCTCTGTCTCTCCGTCTCTCTCCCTCTGTGACCGTCTCACCCCCTCTGTCTCTCCGTCTCTCTCCCTCTGTGACCGTCTCACCCCTCTGTCTCTCCGTCTCTCTCCCTCTGTGACCGTCTCGTCCCCTCTGTCTCTCCGTCTCTCTCCCTGGCTCCCATCCATCTTGCACACAGCTGCCAGGGTGAAAATAAAAATCAGATTCAGTCACAGCTTAAACTCTTCAGTGGCCCCCATGCTTTCTGGGACATGAGGACGCAGCCCCTGTTGCCTGTTGGGGTGGCACCCAGCTCGGTGCCAGCTCCGATGCCAGCTCAGTGCCAGCTCCGATGCCAGCTCCTCTGGACCTGGGAGCACCTCCTGCAACAGGGCAGGTCCCGGGCGGGAGCCACGCCTCCCCTTCTCCCACCCCGTCGGTGATCCTTACATTCCCTTCAGCCCTGGCATGGGTGAGCGGCCGAGCTCTTCCCTCGGGGCGTGGAGAATCGCCCTCTCTACTCTGGTTACCGTCCTCAGGGTCTGTTTCACAGTCGTGTTGTGTGTGTGTTGGCTACAGGCATCCCCGTGTCTTCTTTGGGTGTGGGGAGGGTGTGTGTGACGGTCACACACAGAGGCTCCCCTCTCTGATCTGTAAACAGATGCCGTTGGCAACCACAGGTCATTCAGTGACAAGCTCGGCCTCACCAGCAAGCGGGAGATGCAGCCTGAAGACGAGGTGAAGCCAGGTGAGACGACTCTCACCCCGGGCCCGGGGTTGCCCCATTCACCAACTCCCAGGTGCGTGCAGGGGGCAGCAGAGGGTGCCGGGGCACCTGCCGCCCACCTGTCCACAGCTGCAGCCCAAGCCTGGCCACGACTTAACGAAGACGGTGTGGCCTCATCACACCTGTCAGCAGCTGCAAACCCGAGACTGCAAGGCATCCTTCTAGACTGGGAGGTGGTCCACGCACCAGGGCCTCCAGAGGAGCAGGGTCTTATGGCGCGGTGGCTCACGCTTGTAATCCCAGCACTTTGGGAGGCCGAGGCGGGTGCATTACCTGAGGTTGGGAGTTCAAGACCAGCCTGGCCAACGGCAAACGCTGACTCTATTAAAAATATAAAAATGAACTGGGTGTGGTGGTGGGTGCCTGTAATCCCAGCTACTCGGGAGGCTGAGGCACGAGAATCACTTGAACCCAGGAGGTGGAGGGAGGTTGCAGTGAGCCGAGATCGCGACACTACTCCGGGCTGGGCAACAGAGCAAGACTCTGTCTCAATGGCAGAAAAAGGAAGAGCGAGGCCTTGAACTGGCTCTCTCCCCTCTTCCTCGTATTGAGCAAGGGCTTTGGAAAGCACAGCCGGGCCTCAGGCTGCTGGGATCCCATCATTGGCCTGGGGTCCCCAGCTCCTCTGTAGGGAGGGGATGTCTTGAGACACAGTAGCCCCCTGCACAAGTCATGAGTGTTGGTCTTTTCTCTTTTCTAGGAAGCTTTGACAGGTCCATGGCTGAGAGCAATATTGTGCACACAATCGTTGAGTTCCTGTCTTTCTTGCATCTCAAAGGTATGTGAAATATCAGCAACGTTCCGTTCACCTGTCAGCACGCTGGAGGCGTAAAAGGCCCATTGAGAAGAGGACCATAGAGTCCCACCGGCAAGCAGCCAGTGAGCCATCTAGAAACCACGTCTTGTCTGGCTGTGTGTCAGGATGACAGAGCATGACACTAGAGCTAGCTCCAGGGGGCTGGGAGGGTGGCACGGGCGTGCCACCAGCCGTGAGGGCTATCAGCCAGCGCTGCTCCCAGGAAGAGAGTGGGCCTTAGGGCGCAGCTCCCTCTACTGGAACCATATCTATTCACACGGTGACAGACCTGTTAGGGCACAGGTGTAC